GTAAGTGAGGACTAATGGAGAGGATGCACAAAAGTTTTGTAACCAAAGATAAACAATTTTATACAGAATATAATATAAAGATGTACTACTACTAGACGGTTTTAGGATGATGCCATAATATAAATTTATTCCAAATTTAGAATATCTCACATAAAAGGAAGTAATAATAGTTATAGTCAAATAAATGTTTATCAATGATAATAATTGTATACATATATCAGATTGATAATAATATGAGATTCTATATTAATTGTAAGTGAAGATTATGATGATGAAGCACAAAAGATTTGTAACCAATCGACACACTGTATGTAACTTGAAGATGATTTTATATTTTATGTTTGTCTGTGTTTGTTTGTTTAAATATATATATATGCTGGTCTTGTTGTATTCGGGTCTTTTTCTGTGTAAGATTGAGATTGTCTTGGCAACGTTTCGGCGAGGTGTCACTCGCCATCCCCAGGCTGGTGTTTTGGTGGCGAGTGAGACCTCGCCAAAACGTTGCCAAGACAATCTCAATCTTACATGGAAAAAGACCTGAATACAACAAGACCAGCATACCTATACCCGTGAAAATCTATATAATTTGTTGTATTTTCAGAGAAGGTGATAAGTTACTACATTTGTTTATACTTGGGATGAAGGAGGAAGTTATTTATATATTTCTTTTCTTTTTCTTTACTGTATTCTTAAAAGAAAAGGAAAATGCTTTATCAGCTGCTGGCTAAAGATTGTCAGCATCTCTGTTGAAGTGGTGAGGTGGCTCAATTCTGTTTCCCCCTTTGAGGTTGTTTGCTGTTGGTTTGCTGAATTCAAGCCTGTTCTTCCTTCAGCATCAGTCACCTGTTAAGCCTGTTAAGGCTGCAATCTCCCATACAAACCAAGTCTTCTTCCAACACACATTTTCAATCAAGTACTATCAGTGTTTTTTTTCTTTTATAATTGTAAACCAGTTGTGGTCCGGTGCTCTTCAGGCTGCTTTAAAATCCCAAGGGAGAAAGCAAAGAGGAGGAAGAGCTCATACTGGCTACTATAAGATTTTCTTTCCACATGGATGGACTTTATATCTTTCTAATGCCCTCTTCCCCCCCCCCTCTTTTTTTTTGGTCTTCATTCAACCTCTAGCTAACTTCTGCTGTTGTTCTTGTTCTCCAAGGTCATCTCTGTAGTTTTCTAAAGAGTTTTCTCCTCGTTGCTCTGCTACCATCCCAAACTCTTTCTCTCCATGAGGGATCATAGCAAATGAACTGTTCTTTCTATTCTTTATTTGCAAGATGGTAAGAGCACTCCACAATGAAATATTTCTTCTAGTGTTTATCATCTTTTCTTTCCGAGAATGTCTCTGGGGAATAAATATGACTGCAGGCTGAAGTGGGTACTGAAAAACAAATTAAAGTTTCTGTGTTTGAGTAGATCCTTGGCAGCAATAATGTATTTGCATATCCTTATATTGTTTAGCTTCAGGCTGGAGGTTACTGAAGACCCCTTGGCATAATGTGCCAGGGCCAAACATTTATCATCGCTCATCAATTAGCAATTGTAATGTGTTAAAAACCCGATGTGTTTGTTGAGATCTTCAAAGATTGCCTGAAACCTTTTGATGCATATGAGTTAGGCAGTCTCTCATTCTATAATGTTGGAGTAGTTTCATTGTTCTAAAACTGTCACTTTGAAAACTGTGATTAGATATCCTGGGAAATTAAAATGCTTTGATATTATTTTGCCCTTGTTTTGAACTCTAATGTCAACCGTATGTGCATTAATTCTTTTGCATGAAGCTTGACCTGTTTGTCCAGTGTAAAATCAAGAGGGACGTTGCTGATAGATGATGGTGAGAGAATAAGTGAATGCATCTCTAATTTTATGTGTGATGAGGATCTTATCCATTCGTTGTGCCCAACTCTTAGTGATTCAATAGGCCAGGTCTCTCCACATTTCTGATCTTGCACTACTTGAGTTTTTGTATGCTCTGGCTGGTGTCACCTTTGATGGTGTTTGTGTGTGATAGTGCTTTTGAACATGGGGGAAAGTAGACATCTACAGTAGGCTGGTTGCATAATCTGGTTTCCATGTTTGTAACATTGTACTATTATGTCTGGTTTCCTGTGAGAATCTGTCAGGCTCAGAATTCCTGAGGTTTTTTACTTCAGCAGAAATATTTAAAAGCTTTGGAGATCTCTATATAGTTAGTAGTCAGGCGTTCTGGGCTTCAGGAAACCAGTACCAAGGTATTGATCAGGCTTTTGCAGATGCCCCAGCCGGTCCACCACCTCAGCAAGTCTTTTTCAGTGCAACAGTTCCTTGCAATATTTGTAGAAATAATTGTCTGTGGAGAACGATTGGTTGTTTCCTGGAGCACGTCAAATAATTGGTTGCTAGGGGTTGTGTGTTGTTTCTGTTTTGTCTGTCTTTTCTGTTTTCTTTGTGGGGTCTGGATCAGACCTCTGAACTGGGTGGTAGATCATATCCAGCTCCCTTGATTTGTTAATGAGCCAGAAATTGAAGTGCTGGGCTTCTACCTGTTTGTATACTCAATTATTCTAATCCAATATAGGATTTGTATGAAGGGCATAGGTAGTTGTTAAGAATTTGTAGTCCTGGTTCTTTATTGCAGACATGAGTTATTTAATTCTTTGAAGCAGCTGCATCCTATCTCTGCTATGTAGTGCAGGTTACAATCTTGGTAAACTTCCCATACAAGGTTCTGTCTTTCAGTTTGCAGAGTCCTTGTGTGATGTTTTTGTAGGTTTCTGGCGTGGTGCCTAATGGATGGAGTAGCCTGCTGGTGTGTTCTGATGTTTGTTTTTTTTAAATATAGTGTCGTGTTATATAAGTTATATTCTAGGGTACCTTTCTGTTGGTTTCTTTCCCAGAGCACCTTTAAATGAAATGGGGGTGGGTCAATAATTCTTTAATATATTTTGGAGGTGGCTCAGAGGCTAAGACGCTGAGCTTGTTGATCAAAAAGGTCAGCAGTTTGGCAGTTCGAATCCCTAGCGCCGCATAACGGAGTGAGCTCCTCTTACTTGTCCCAGCTTCAAAGCCAGAGAGCCAGCCCTGTATGAAGACGTCTCCATGGTCATGTGGCTGCCATGTCTAAATGCCAAAGGCTCAAGGAATACTGTTACCTTCCCATCAAAGATGATCCCTGTTTTTCTACTTACATTTTCCTTGAGCCTTTGGCATTTAGACATGGCAGCCACATGACCATGGAGACGTCTTCAGACAGGGCTGGCTCTCTGGCTTTGAAACTGAGGTAAGCAACTCCCCCTAGGGTTGGGAACAACTAGCACATATGTGTGAGGGGAACCTTTACCTTTAAGTTCTGCATTCCTGGATGTTGGTGAACTGCAGTACATTTGGAAAACAAATATTGTTTCAAATCAAACCTTCAAACCTTCAAACCTTAAAGGTAATTTGACAGTGGCTTCAGCTATATTCATCTTCATCCTGGGATAAAGAATAACTCTTCTTCCTGAAGGAAATTAATGCATCAGTGAACCAGGGTCTACTGGAGTGGGAGGCCATAACAACTTTAATGAAATAAATTTTGTTTTCCATTTTGCACATAGCTGACTCAGAAAGCCTATCTGCCATGTTTTTGTATTAATCTGATACCGCTTCAAATAAATCTTCATTAAAATCTTCATTTAGTATTTCTGAACACTCTCAGAATGTTCACTCTTAAGAATACATTCTGTAAGATGACATATTTCTAAATGCAAATTAATATTTTTTTTAGCCTAGAACTGCAGGTGGTTAATTATGTCCCAATTCATCCCTAAATCCGAAAAATTTTGATCCAGTCAACTCTTATCAGAATTTATAAGTACTCAACTGGGCGTACTCCCAAGGCATTTTCTGTAGTTTCAGAGAATAATTATCTCCCTTCATCAGGATGTTTTCAAATAATTTATGTTCAAACTCTTACTTTTTATCATTACATTTATACAAATATCTAGCTACCAAGGACATCCACAGACAAGCATTTCCTTGTTTTAACTAGAAAACTCTCTAAATAACGGAAGCCCTACAGGACTCTCTTGAGTTTCATTTTTTTTTAAATAGATGAAAATGTTAGAATGGCAGTAATAAAGAACAACTCAAAGGCATCAACAGCTTTAAAAGGGTATTTGTGACTTTTTAAAGACTGTAAAGTGGTTCCAGCAAGTGTAATTGACAATAGTGAATAGATGCCAACAATGGCCATACAATTACAATTATAGCTGCCACCATAGTAATGTGCACCAGTTAAGACAAGAATTATTTCTAGGTATATACTACACAGGGCTGGGAAAATATCATCTTGCAAAAGAAACACAGCTTGAATCTTAGGAACGAACCTCAGAGATATGCCTTCCGAGTAGAGGAAGAAACAGTTGAAAAAGACTTCATAGTACTTCTTTCAGACCAAATGTTGCAACTTGACTGCGCATTTCAACATGCAGAGATTTGTATTATAATACAGATCTGTCTTCTTTTGTGTCTGATCAAGAAACAGGAATTACAGGACATGTTATGTCATTCTTTGCTGGTATCCCTTCTAATAGCAATAGCTAATATATACTGCTTTATAGTGCTTTACAGCTCTCACTCAGCAGTTTACAGTCAGCATATTGCCTCCAACAATCTGGGTCCTCATTTTACCCACCTTGGAAGATGGAAGG